GCCATTTTCACGCGTTTTATGTAGCATAAGTGTACATATATACCACTCACATTCTATATATACTATTTACACATTTTATAAGTGAAAAAAAGCAAGGCCGTCGCCACCATTGCGTGCGACGAGCGGGGCATCCAAAAATGGAAATGCGGCAGGCGCAGCAACAAACCAGCGCATTGAGCACGGTCAGTAATGCGACCAAAAAAGTCCGCCGAGTCCTGCCAGATCGTCACTCAGTAGCCGCGGCGTATGGCATGCCTCGCGGCCAAAGGTATGGACGAGATAGGCGGTGAGCTCACCCAGCGCTAGATAAATATAGGCGTGAAGTGGGTGACTTCACCAGCAAAGTCCGGTGAATCCCACGTACTTTTTGTGGCTAACAGTCATGGGCACTTGACTGCGAACCCTGCGGACGAACAGCAAAATGTGTGTTGGTCGACGGTATCAGGAAGTGGTCTACAGGATGAAGGGATACAACAAAATATATTAGCGTATCTAAAAGCGACAAGTCTACCGATTTTAAAATGTATTTATCTCGTCAGAAGTGTCAGTTTTGAGGGTGGGCCAAGTCGAAAGATTCTTGCTTTGTGGTCGGCGCAAAAGTGCAATGCAAGCAGCTTGCGAGCCAAGTATCTGCTAGACAACGGAGAAATCGACATCGTCAATGGGGTTGCTCCTAATGCCGTAGCATTACATACCTCTGACAATTGTACAATGTCCCAATTTAGGAAACAGACGGGGCAAGTGGGATATTACCGACTTGCTGGCATTTACTGATCTCTGATTATAGGACTACGGTGAACACCGACTGTAATTGGGCAGCTAATAGGAATGCCGGTTGTGGCGTCAACGTAGACAAGGCAAACTCTTATGGTAGCAGCTTTAATATTGCCGGCGGAGGATGGTGAGGTAGTTGCCTCTCCCTCATCCGACATGAATTGACGAGGCTACGCAGGTATGCCCTTGAGCGAACACCACAGTTTATCCGAGCATGGTTCTGGTCCCGAGCAGAAGAGAATATTCCGTGCGATATTACCACC